CTTCTGTTTTCTCCCAGGGCTGGGCGGGAACCCGGCCTTGCTCAAGCCAGAGTGCTCAGCCCGCTCTGCTGCCTTGTTCGTCCCGCGTGCTTCCTCTCTAATTTAAAGGTTATGTCCTCCATGGATTTTTGTTTGTTTTAAAAATATATTTTAGCTGTAGATGTACACAATGTCTTTATTTTATTCACTTATTTATTTTTATGTGTGCCGGGGATCGAATGCAGGGCCTTACATGTGTGAGGCAAGTGCTCTACCCCTGAACTACAACCCCAGCCCCATGTCCGCCATGTTTATAAATGAGTGTGCTTCAAACTGAAGCATGAACTTTATTAACTTTAAAAATAACCAGTGCTCTTTTCCAGATGTAAAACTACCCATAGATACTAGATTCACTTACTGCTTTCTCTCAGTATGCTATTAAATCTGTGAGACAAAACTACTATCTTACGCATTAACAATTCATTCAGGCTTACTCACATTTACACTTGTTTTGTTCTGCTGTCCTTTCTGAATCTCTGGCAGCTGGAATAATGTGTTGCTGTTTCTTTTTCTTTTTTTTTAAGTATTGGGGATTGAACCCAGGGACCTGCACATACTAGGCAGGCTCTTTAACACTGAGCTGCATCCCCAGGCCCTTTTTATTTTTTATTTATTTAAAAAATATTCTTTAGTTGTTCATTGGGCCTTTATTCCGCTTATTTATATATGGTGCTGAGAATCAAACCCAGTGCCTCACACGTGCTAGGCAAGCGTCCTACCACCGAGCCAAACCCCAGCCCCTTTATTTTGAGACAGAGTCTTACTGAGTTGCCAAGGTAAGCCTTAAACTTGTGATCCTCTTGCCTCAGCCTCCCCAGTTGCTGGAATCACAGGCATGTGCCACTGTGTCTGGTGATTGTGCTACCTTCTGTACTTTGTTTAATGAGGGTGATTGTGCTACCTTCTGTACTTTGTTTAATGAGACGCTGCTGGTGAAAAATTTTTTATTGTGCCTTCTTGCTTAAAAGATATTTTGCAAGGAATACAATTATAGCTAGAGTTATTTGCCCTGGGCACAGTAAGGTTATAATTCCATTGTGTTTGCCTCATCTATTACTGTTGAGAAGTCAGAGGGCAGGCTGGGGATATAGCTCGGTTGATAGAGTGCTTGCCTCAGATGCATAAGGCCTTGGATTCAATCCCCAGCACCACCAAAAAGAAGAAAAAAAAGAAGTCAGGGGTCCACCGTCTGGTGACTCTTCTTTCCTTGAAAGTGATCTGTTTTTTTTCCCCCGGGGAGGGCTTCAGAGTACTTGTAGTACTCTCCTCAGTTCTGAACAGGCCCTATTTGTCACCTCTTAAAATACCAACTCTGCCCCATTCTCCTTCTTCCCTCCTTCTGAAGCTCTTAACTATGTGTGCATTCTAGACCTTTTCTCTCACTCACCATTTCAAGTTCATTTTTTGCTTACCTTTTCAAATATAAAAGGTTTTTATAATAAAACCTACTCGATGTTCCCTTATACAAGTGATCTGAAACTTACCAAACAACTGCCAAGACTGTGTAGATACTTCTGTACTGTCTTTTCATATATTCTCCTTGTCCTTCTTTGCTCTCTTTCTACTTCCAGAAATTCTATGGCTATTCTTGGAATTTTTTCTTCTCTGCACATTCCTGTTTCCTTCAATACGGTAAACATGGTACTCCTATATTTTGTTTAGTAATTCACTATCTCACTTATGTTAACGTCTGATTCTGCTAGCTGTTGTTTTTGCTCATTTTCACATGTGGTATGTCACGTCCTTGTTTTTTAACTTTGTGAGCTGTCACTTTCTTTATAAAATAACTTGAGTAAATACCTCCTAGTCTAGGATGAAGGTGAATGTTTTCAAAACAGATCTATGTTTGCATATGGTAGGTGTCTAAGGAACTTAGAGGCTACAATCACTGTAACTTTACTGCAGTCACCCAGGCAGTGTGCATTCTGGTTGTATGATGAGTTTCTAATTCAATTATTTTCCTCCCTGTTCTGCTCAGCACAATCAAGGAAATATCCTTTAAAGTTCCCTGGGAGAACCAGTGGAAATGCACATGAACTTCTCCTTCTCTGGCAGTGTGTTCCTTTGGGCACTAATTTAAACCAAGGCTCCCGTTGGAATCCCTGACCTTGGGCACTTCTGCAAAGCTACTAAGCTCAAGTCCCACAGCGGCTTTCACGGCAGAACTGGTTTGAGTATTCTACTGCTTTAATAATACCTTACCTTGCAGATCCTTGAAGATTCTAAGTAGATGCTTCTGTTAGATGGCCATTTTAGTTGTCTTAGGCAGTAAGGGACATGTCAGAAACAGCCTATACCCAGTCTTTGGTCTAGTTCAACACAGCTCTGGACACGTGACAGCTGCCCATCAGTCTGGCTTTCTTTGATTCCTGTCCAATTCAGCCCACCCAGTTTCTGACGCACCTGATTATCTTCTCCTCCGGGAGCCGGCTTGAGGCTTCCATAACACACTTCCCTGTACACCCCCATCAGGGCTCAGACCCAGGAGGGTTCTCCACATCCTCTGCCACCAGTGTACCTTCAGCTACCAACATCTATCCCCTCGATGGCTAGCTTCCTGAGAACCTCCCACCAGGATTTCTTCTGGCTACTAATTCCCCATGCAATCCATTCACTGGTCCAGCAACCCAGAGGTCTGCTAAAAACAAAAACTGGATCACAAACCACTGCCTCGTGAAAATCCCTGCCTTGAACTTGAGATAAATTCCACACTGTTTAGCACAGCCCATCCTACCTAGTGTGATATAACTCCTACCAATAGAGCCACAATCACCTTTTGTATCAACTATAGACAACTGACTTCTCGGTTTCTAAAGTCGCCCGATCGTCCCCAGTGGGGACCAGGACACTTACTGCACCCTCTTCCTGGAAAACTGTTCCCCACCGACCATAGTCAATCCTTCTCACACCTCAGGTGCACCCTCATGTGACTCTCAAGATTCCCTGACTACCAGGAATCTACTGGTTTTTCCTTTAGAAAATGCATCATGATTTGTGAGCTTATTTTACTGTCCACTCCCCAATTATCGGCAAGTTCTAGGTGTGTAGAGAGACTATTTGTTTCCTTTCACTCAGTCCCCCAGCACCACACTGCCTGTGGAACACGGTAGGTCTTCAGTCGATGTGGACGTTAAATGGCCGAGTTCCTCCCTTCTAAAGAGACTCACTGGGAAAGTGAAAGTCTGATCAGAAGTTACATGTTCAGCACAGAATCAGAACCAAGGAGAGTGAGTTAAATGATTGAAATGCAGGTAAGAATCAGGTCAAGATGAGATACATCTGCGAACATACCCATGAGGCTTAAAGCTATATAGTTAAGATTACTTTCCCCTGGTCATTTAATGGACAAGGTCAGCAACTGCCTCAGTATCACCTAATGCTTAACTTTACCATCTACTCCTCAGTTAAAAGACATAGATAACTGCCTATGAGTGCCATGTTTCTCAACTTGGCTTGCAAGATTGCTAATGGAATTCTGAAAATATTTTCCCATAGAACCACTAGTATGCAGTAGGTTCCTTTGATTAGTGCATAATGTTTCACCCATAATTCATCTGTCACTTTAACAAATAAGAATTGAACAGTATTTGTGCCAGAAACTGTTTTATCCCTAGAGATATTAATTAGTAAACAAAATAAACTAAAAAGCCTAGCCTCGTGGATCTTATTGTCATGTGCTCAAACAGAAAAGCAGAAACAAACCAGGATGGTACACAGGAACTCAAGTTAGGATGAAAAGCCAGGCAATGCAGGGAAGGGAGGAATAGAGGGAGCCCATTTTTAACCTATTATTTAGCAGAATTTATTACATCTCTGCTCCAAAAGGGATTTGAGATAGACCTTACCCCTAGAACCTAAGTCTCATGAATCAAATAGAGATATGCACACAGGCAAGACCTTCAACCCTGAACTTCACGAAGCACAGGCAGAGACTGTTGAGGCTCTAAGTCACTTGACATATTCAGCTTGAGAGAGGTTGTTCAAAAGGGCTGTGGCTGGAGAAGAGGCGGGAAACGGGGGGCCCCCTGACCTGAAGCCCAGGGACAGCAGGCCAGTCCACGCCACCACGGCCCGCTCTCCTTGGACAACCACAACTGTTACCATAATCACTTTCCTAGTAGGACGTGCTGCTCAACTTTCCCTCCTTCTTCTATCCCCACAACAAATACTTAGCCATGGGGCTTTTTTGATAGCTTTAAGGGCAAAAGGTGATCCTATTTTTATTCCTACCTGTACCACTGGAAGAAACAGCTGTGCCTAGTGAACTGCTCTGGCTCACTCTTATAATTTACCTTAACACCTACATGGAGGCCGGGACTGGGGTGAAGGGCAAGACAAAAACTGGAACAAGGCTTCAAGTTGTGTCCCTAGCAGCATGGGACGGACAGGACAAAGAGGCCGCTGTCCAGCTCAGTCCTCCACAGCTGGTCCACACCGTCTCCACTAGCTCAGTGCGCGTACCTTAGGGTAGGCAGAGGAAGTCGAGCCTGAACACAGCCCTCCCGTGACTGCCAGCTCTCATGGCGGGCGGGCGGGCAGGGAGGGAGGAGCAAGCAAGCTCAACCTTCCTTACTGGGGCTCAGTGGTCTAGCGCTTGCCTAGCACAGGTGAGGCCCTGGACTTGATCCCAGACAAGGGGGAAAAAGACCTGGCATAATAACTTCAGTTTTTAATTCCTTCAAATGAGAAGGAGCCTTCTTATTATTTTCACCTGAAAAAAACAAGGGTTTTAAGTCAGTGAGTGCTGATACTTTTTGTAAGTACAGTATTCATTACACTGTCATTTTAAAGTATTCGTCAGATTATGACTATCAAATATATATCCAGGAATTTTTCAAATACAATATAATTTATTTACATTCAAAATTTCATAAAATAAACCTCAATTTTAAGAAAACATAGGCAGCAACACACAATCAAGACAAACTACCAACAGAAGGACACTGGCCGGAAGTCATTACCTGTGCGACGTCGGGTGTGTTTCCTCCTTGCTCCGTCCACAGGTCCTGCTCATAATGGTACAAGCCATCATTGATCACTTTGGCAAGCTCCGAGGTGATGCTCGCCCGAGCCAAGGCGCTGCCTGTTCGATCTCCTCCAGGATGTTTTCTCATGTGAGGTGGCGTCTGAGTTACGATCAAAATCTTATTCAAATCTTGGTCGTCAATTTCATAATCTGAATCGTTATCAGACCAATCAGTAATTGTGTTTTTTCGTTCTTCTATTTGTTCCATTTCCTCATCAAATAAGAAATCCAGTTCTTCTGCTTCTGGAAGATATAGTCGATCTGATGCCTCCTCAGGTACAGGTGTTGATTCCTGAAGGAAGAAATTGGTATTTAATATAAAAATTGCCCCATCAACTTTGAAAATAAACACCATCTGGTACTGGTATAAGAAAAATCAATGCTGGGGGGAATGGCTGTTTGGTTAGCATTGTAGTTGGCCCACAACAAACATTTAATATGCACAAGCTTTCTCTACAGCCATACAACCAGGAGCTGTCTTCCAGTCTCTTACTTACACACACACACACACACACACACACCCATATAAAATAGAGATGCATTAAGAAATTCAGCATCTTTAATTACATATATGTACATATCACCTGCATTATATATGTATGACTTTTCTCATTCAAACTGGGCATGAGGTATGAAAGGCAGTTGGAGAATTAACAAGAGAATGAGGGAGTCTATAAACTCAAACCTTAAGAATTAATTAAAAATACTGAATTTCCAATTTCAAAAGATTTCACTGGGGCTGGGTTGTGGCTCAGTGGCAGAGTTCTCGACTGGCACATGTGAGGCACTGGGTTCAATCCTCAGTACCGCATAAAATGAATAAATAAAATAAATGTACTGTGTCCATCTACAACTAAACAAACATTTTAAAAAAGATTTAACTGGAAGATAATCTTCCTACATTACATTTCTATATAAAAGACTCTCTTAAACCTCAACACAAACATAAAATCAGATTTCACTTTATGACAGCCAATTAAATTAAAAGAAATCAGAATGAAGTTAAGTTTTTCAATGACCCATATGCGGAAGCCCAAGGCATACCTTTGTGTAGAAAGCACTGTGACCCACGAATTGACCTTACTGTGCTTCACGTTTGTGAGGAGGAACTGGTAAGCCACAAGACCTCGCTCCATCCACAGAACCTGTAGCACTACCCGCCCACCCGCCAGTGTAGGTCAGAGCATTCAATTTCACACTTACTGCTTAACTGACCAGAATCTACAAGCTGAGTTGAACATGCAGGAAAAATAGGCTTATTCCTTAAATGACCCCAAATTGTAGACAAGATAGCATGATGGCTAATGTGCATGCTTTAGAGTTGGACGGCTTGGGTTTAAATCCCTCTTAAGTTATCATCGGCTCTGTCATTACCAGGGTCATTTAATCCTCAGGTACTCTGCATGCATCTGAGAAGAACCACAGGCATGCCGAGAGTGTGCACATGCATGTGTGTGTTCTTAGGATTTACTACATGTAAAACGTAACCACATTATAGAACTATGTCAGATTCATAGGAAATAGTTGATATTTTACTTCTACAAAAATGCCAAGTTTATATGGTTCAAAAGATTTTAACAAATATGAATGAACTAAGTATGCTAGTTTTATCTACCAAATAACTAGAAGATAAATCATTCTTCTGCACATTGAATTAATATTGGGGGTGAAATGTTATTAAAAATTCTGTTTTCATTAAAAAAAAATCAAGCTTGTATCCTGAATTACTAGTTTAGCAGCTAAATTGTAAAAGAAAATAAGCCAGTATTATTTTGGCACTGTAAGTAAAAAGCAATTGTTAAAGGCCAAGTAAAACTTAAAACCAAAGAGAACACAAAGTTGAGTAAAAGAAGGATCAAACACCCATTTAGACTTGAGCTGGTCTTAGAAGCTCCTTTACATGACAGTGACATTTACCAGGGAGAAAACAAAGGCCCAGAGATGTGAAATTAAGCCCAGGACAGGACCAGTCCATGGCCTTCTGAACCTTCTTTACCTCACAAGGATGATGCCAAGTTTCTTCCTTGATCCCTCAGTCCCCTTGCAGGGCACTGCAAATTCAAGGCCACCCTGAGCAATTTAGTGAGATGCTCTATCAAATAAATAAATAAATAAATAAATAAAAGGGCTGGGGATGTGGCTCAGTGATAAAGTGCTTGCTCTGCACACACAGGGCCCTGGGTTCAATACACAATATTGCCACCCTCCTGACTTAGCCTGCAACGTAGCTGGATTACAGATATGTTCCACCACCTGTCTCCTTTGTGATTTAGATCAAATCAACTCTATCACATATTAACTCATGTACTCATGTATCTACCACCAGTCAGAAACAGGGCCTGAGCAGCCCAAGAATCTTCTCTGGGGATTGAGCCTAGGGGCATTTTACCACTGAGCTACATCTCCAGCCCTTTTCATTTTTCAAGATAGGGCTTCACTAAGTTTCTTAGGGCTTTGCTAAAATGCTGAGGCTGGCCTCTCAAACTTGCGATCCTCCTGCCTCAGCCTTCTGAGTGACTAGGCACCACTGTGCCCAGCACAAGAATGTTTTCCATGGCCCTTTTCTATTGCAACATCCATCTGAGTTCCTCATGTATCCCCAATAAATCAACCCTCATCTTTTCCTTCTGTACATTAAATCACCCAAAAATGTTTATACCTGATATGGGTCCTAAGAAACTTCTAAGTAATTACCAAGGGTATATCTTCAAAATTGGGGTTTCAACTTTATTTTTAAATCATGTTCAAGAATAAAAGATGAGGGACTGGGGGGTAGTTCAATGGTAGAGCATGTGTCCAGCATATGCAAAAGTCCCTAGGTTTGACCCCCAAAATTCCTTAAAAATCTAGACAACTTACTTTGCACATAGAGTAACTCATAAATTTCTTCTAAAAGCCAACAATTCCAGATTTGACATTTTTGAACTTTCCCAATTTTACACACGTGTCTGACAACAGAAAATTCCCGAAAGGTGTCGCCCTTCACCCTCTGCATCAACTTACCTTTAATTTCACTGGGCGATGCCTGTTTTTTACCTCCACCCAAGGCTCTGAGTCCAAGTCAGGCAAGCTGGTAGACAGACCTTTAGACATTGCTTGAAGGTGACTTGTTTCAGTGTGTTTCTTTGGATTCAGTGGACTTCCAATTCTTGGAGAATTTGGGGCAGACTCTAAAATTTTAAATTAGTTCTACAGTTAATGGTTTTTCTTACTTATAAAATACTTTTCATTTTTTTCCTTACGTTGGTTTGATAAATCAATCTCAATCTGTGAAATTAAGCTAAAATCTTCCCAGTATCTTTCAAACATGGAGTGATTATAATATTTATCCAAGGACTGAGGATGCAGCTCACTGGCAGACTGCCTGCCTAGCATGGCCACGCCCTGGGTCAGTCTTTGCCAACACACACATGCACACAAATATATTCAAAAGTGAAGCCACTGAAATAATGCCACCAACCCCTGCGCAGAGCACATGTCCACTCTAACTTCTCAAGAATCTGTGAGCCACTTACAACAGAAAGTCTATTTGGCAATCCAGTTGTGAAATTTGGACTAAAAAATATAAATTATAATTGTGGAATCTCAATGTTATTAAGCCACAGTCTAAATGCATATTTTATCCAAGGTGTTTAGGTAGGACCTAAGCCAGAGCAGCCACTCCCCCTCTTCTTCACATTCCCTTGGCGTATCCATGTTCGCTTCCCCACACCAGGGTCCTGCTGCCTACCCTAGCTCAAACTGAATACTGCAAAACGGAGAAACAGTGGAACCACATTAAAGTGCACAGCTCTAAGATGTTTAGAACTTAAAAACTCTCCATTTGTGTATAATGAATTAAAGGGTATTCTGCTCTCATGTATAACTGATTTGAACAAATAAAAATATTTAAAAATATTTTTGAAAAAAGAAAATACTTAAAAACAGAGACTTTAATTGGATGTATGGCATGACTGTAATTCCACCAGCTTGGGAGGCCGAGGCAAGATTGCAAAATTCAAAGCCAGCCTCAGCAATTTAGTGAGGCCCTAAAATAAAGAGCAAGTAGGTGGGCTAGGGATATGGCTCAGTGGCTAATACCCCTGGTTCAATCTCTGGTACCAAAACAAAATAAAACAACACTGAGAGAATTCAAAGGCCTTTTTTTTTTTTTTTTAACCTCCACACTATCACTTCTGCTAACTTATTTTAATATATCCTCTATTATAAGTTAAATTCAACTTTTTTACTTATTTTGTTTTGATGCTGAGATAAAACCCCGGGATGCTTTATCACCGAGTTATATCTCCAGCCCTTTTTAAAATTTATTTGGAGACAGGGTCTTGCTAGGTTGCCCAAGCTGACCTCCAACTTGTGACCCTCCTGCCTCAGTCTCATAAGTAGCTGGGATGACAGGCATGTGCCATCAGAACTGACCAAATTGTTTAATATTAATAAGTACTTTTTCAAAAAAGAAAGAATATTTAAATGTTTTAAGTTATATTTTCATACCTAGGTCAGAAGATGCAATGTGGACTCACTTTGAACAAGGATTTTTAAAGTGTGTTTTAAGTTATATTTTCATCCTGTATCAAAAGATGCACCATGGACTTGCTTTAGACAGCGTGTTTTAAAAAACACATGCCTTTGGGGCTGGGGTTGTGGCTCAGTGGTACAGCACTTGCCTAGCATGTGTGAGGCCCTGGGTTAGATCCTCAGCACCACATAAAAATTAATAAAATAAAGGTACAACTAAAAAATAAATATTTTTAAAAAACACATTCAGCAATATGTAAAACTAAGTATACACAAAATTTATTTTAGAGTGTTTGCTGGAGCATCACTATTTACCCATCCAAGTCAGATTACTGAAAACGCCACAATGCTAAAATGTTACTTGCAGAAAGCTGAAACTAACACCAACAATCCTTTTATTCACTAAATTCAAGGCACATGACAGGACCCAGTGTGAGACTGTTCCAGGTTTTACTTCAATCTCTATGGCAGAAATCAGACGACCTTGGGCTCTTCCCCATGGACCAGTGGTATTGTGTTTTATAGAAGTTCTCCAACTCCTCCTGTTCAATACGATAGGCATTAGCTCTATGCAGCCACTGAGTACCTGAAATGTGCTCAGGACCAGTGTAGCACACATACCAGGAAAGACCTGTTACCCCCCATGAACAAACAGAGCCAAAGTCCTTATTGGCCGTATGCTGTAATATTTGAACATGTTGCTAAATTAAAATCTCTATAAAAATATTATTAAAATTAACTGTCTTAAAAATTAATTTTAATAAAATTGTCTTATGCTTTTAAGGCTACTAAAATTTTTGGCATTACATGTATGGTTCACATATTTCTTGGACAAGGCTGCTCTACAGTTTTTTTAATGGTACACCTTTGCCAATTCATTCACAAAAGTAGTACAAGTGAAACATGGGGAGATTGTCACGCTGAGAGTGCTGGTGGAATAGGAAAAACATTTCCAGGGAATTCTCTAATATCATCAGTTTTCTATGTTCCACAGTGAATAAAGCTTTAAAACTAAAAAACCTCTATCCCACTGACAATATTTGGGGACTGAATCAGTTGCTTATACAACTATTGTTGAGAATTAACTAAATTAGTATAAACAACAGCACCTGGCACAGGGCAGGGAATTTAATCTTTTAACACCAGCCTAACATCTTGTTAAATAATCATCTCTAAATGTTCTTTAAGCTTGAAAGTCTTAGTGAGACTTCACAGGTTTCATGTTATGACACTTATGGCATACATACGCCCTGCATGGCTTTTTGCACCCATATTTTCTTCTACAATGAAGTTTTCAAACTATACATCAGTTAAAGTCAAAGATAGTTGCAAACACCTCATCTTCCAAGAGGAAATGAACTTAAAAATGATTTGGATTATCTGACATTAAAATTTTTATAGACAAAAATTATTTAGACACTTTTAAGGAAATCCCAGTTTATTACTGAAAAACCAGGAGATCATCTCACACATTTTTTTAAAAAAAAGAAAAAAAAAAAAAAAGCCCAAGATGTCCAGGTCTCTGACCTCTTTGTGGATGGGCACGTTCTTTAAGGGTGGATGGTGCGGCAGCACATCCAGAACAGAGCAGGACACACTGCAAAAGCAGCTGCTTCATTCCCACAATCCACCCCGTGGGGGGCACCGAGGTCTTCTGCTCAGTGCAAACGTCAACCCATGGTACACAAGGCCACCTCCACAGAGGGAAAACAGCAGCCGATGAAGGATATTAAATGTTACATTTCAAACTCCTCAGAGGCATATGTCAAGGGTCCTTTCTGAAGTTTAAGGTCTCCTAATTGAAAGGAAAGGGATATGAAATGCCTCCTCTGTTCTCCACCTGTGGGGACACACATTGCCCCAGGGCTCCACTTCACATTTTTGGTGAGACATTACTTCTCTACTGACTCCAGGAAACTAGGCTTTCTTATCACAAGGTCTGAAATCTTGGGATTTGTGGAAAAAAGTGATTTACATATTTATTTCTATGACTTAATATGAAAGCATAATTCTAAGAAAATTTTCTCATTTTGTTTGCTACCTGGTTTCTGACGTGTAAGATAAAAAAAAAAAAAACTAAAATGTATGACATTTACTTAATACACACTGATGTTTGTGCAGAAAGAAAATATGTATGTGCATCCATCTGAGTGTATGTTAAAAAACACAAAAATATACAAAACATTATGATTTTATTCTTGTAATTTTATTAATAATACATAAATGGTTAATGGACAGGCATCACCAACTTGACTGACCTAAATTAACTATCCCTATGGAAAAAGTATTTTCTATATTATCCAACTTACCAATGATTGTTCATAAGCTGGTTAAAAATGTCATCTTGGACCCAAGTTTACACAATAAATAAATCTAACTTTTACAATCAGCCATTATATCTTTAAAAAAACAAACAAACAAACAAACAATGTCACATTTCTTCAACTTTTTAAAACACTTGCCCCCAAGTTGCTTGCTGCGATTAGAAGCACAGGGCTGACAAAGAAATATGAGATAAAAATCTCTGTGAAACTGTCCATCATTAATGCTTTTCTGATGGGCAGGACTTATACTGATGTATCAAAAATACATTTTGAAGAATAATGGAAAAAATACCCTTGTTTATTTCTTCAATTTCTTACCCCTTAAGTGTCCACATTAATAAATCTTACAGTCCATGTGAAACATCTCAACACGTGAGTTATGCAATGTTCACCATGGCAAAGGGCAGACCAAGAGCCAAGGGCCTGGCAAGCTGGGAAAGGCTACGCAGTCCTCTCTTTCTCTGCTTTATTGACCTGGACACAAGTACATATGCCTGGAAACAAAAGACAGAACCTTGCAGTATTTCCACAGTGATAACAATTAGCTTCCCCCACAAATAAAAGTAGCCACGCCGTCTGAGTCCAGTCACACAGAAAAGGGCAGGCAGCTCCTGGGATGCCAGCAGCGGTCCCCGGCTCTGTCTCCGTCGTGGCAGAGGTGGTCATCTCCACTGTCGTGCTGCCCGGGGGGTCGGCAGTGGACACTCTCACACGGAAGGCAGTCTGGTGGCTTCCATCTCTGCAGCACGGTTTGTTCCAGTATTTACAACGCATTTCAGTGAGCCACCTGCTCCACTGCACATCCCCATCAGATGACATCCAGGGCATCAGTAGATCATCACCCTGACTGAAAAGTTTAAGCACATTTTTTTCCCAGAGGGAATGTCTTAAAAATGATCCAGGAAAAATCCTTAACACTAAAGCAGGTTTGAGAAATTCTAAACACAACCAAATTAAAGAGAACCTCGATTCTGCTTTAGAATGTGGGTCACCTGTCTTTGCAAGACAAGGTAAAGCACATGTGTAACAATTAGACTAGCTCAATCCTACCGGGGGAAAACTGACACAACGTATCCACAGTCATTCAGCAAAATTAAAAGAAGACAGGTCAAAACTCCACACATGACAAAGTACACATAAAAAATTAAGAACAAGAACACAAGAGAGCGTCACCCATAATTCTCAGATCCCTATTTAAATAATCATGTGGGAGACAGTGTAAATAGGATTTGGAGGATTAAAAGTCATGTATAGTTCATCTTTAATTTTCCTACTAAATCTAAATAATCTAACAAGAGACAGGTAAAATGGATCAAAGAAGCCCACTCTTATCCTGTTGTTTCTAAAAGACAAGCTATTACCTGTATGTGAGCAAAAGGCTTGGCCTGGCACAAACTCCGGACAGTCGATCAGCCGAGAGAAGTCAGTCTGTGGCACGCTTCTGGGAGGGGGGCCCGGGATTGGCCATTTTTCTGGTTCTATCTTTTTCCTCATTTTCTCATCCACAACTTCTACTTCTGTGCTGTCCTTCAGGGCCTAGCAATAAGAATTTTGAGCTAGTAAAGAACTTATACTTGAAAACTTTTTCATCGAAAGTCTTATATATTTCTTTTTGAGAGAGAGAGAATTCCGTTATATATATATATATATATATATATATATATATATATATATATATATATATTTATTTTAGTTTTTTTCGGTGGACACATCTTTATTTTTATGTGGTGCTGAGGATGGAACCCAGTGCCCCGCGCGTGCCAGGCAAGGGCATTACCACTTGAACCACCTCTCCAGCCCCAAAAATCTTGTATTTTTAATAATCCCCAAAATTACAAAATCTGAAGTTAACAGATGATAGATATTGCAGTTCATGGTTCTAAAAATATCCATGAAACTGTGCAGATGTGTTGCTCGTCACACACACTTCCCAGCAACCTGGGAAGCTAAGATAGGAAGATGAAGTTTGAAATTTTAAAAGGGCTGAGTATATAGCTCTATGGTGCTGAGATTAATCCACAGTACCAAAAACAAATAAATAAAACTTATGAATTAACTATTAAGAACAAAATAAGGGGCTGGGATTATGGCTCAGCAGTAGAGCGCTTGCCTAGAATGTGCAAGTTCCTGGGTTTGATCCTCAGCACCACATAAAATAAATAAATAAAATAAAGATATTGTGTCCAACTAAAAAAAAAAGAAGACAAAATAAGCTGGGCGTGGTGATGCACACCTGTAATCCCAGCAGCTCAGGAGGCTGAGGCAGGAGGATCGTGAGTTCAAAGTCAGCCTCAGCAAAAGCGAGGTGCTAAGCAACTCAGTGAGACCCTGTCTCTTAAAAGAGCAAAACAAGTTGGGTGTGGTGGAGCACACCTGTAACTCCAGCAGCTCAGGAGGGGGATGGAAGAGGATCACAGGCTGGAGGCCAGTCTGCAATTTATCAAAACCTCAATTTAAATAAAAAGGCTGGCCATGTAGCTCAGTGGTAGAGGGCCTCTGCTTCAGTTCTTAGTACCACAAACAAAACAAAGGAAAAAACTTTGCTATTCGTAGAACTCTATTAAGAAAATAAAGAAAGAAGCCCAAGACTAGGAAAAAAATATTTGTAAAATATACATATTAAAAAAAACTTGTATCCAGAATAAAGAACTCTTACAATTACTTTTAAAAACATTTTGATAAAAATGATTTTGAACACACTGATTTGAACAAACACTTCAACATGTAAGGTTTACCAATGACCATATAAGATGATCAACAACATCAGTCAGTAGGGAAACACAAATTAGCTGTAATGAGAAACTACAACATGTTTATTATTTTAAAAATGATCCCTGGCACAGTGGTGCATGACTATAACTGAGACTGAGGCAAGAGGATGGCAAATTCAACCTCAGCAACTTAGCAAAACCCTGTCTCAAGAAATGGAAAGGGCTGAGGATGTAGCTCAGGGTAAAGTGCTGCTTGGTTCAATCCCCAGGACCAAAAATAACACCTGACGATATCAAGGGCTGATGAAGCTGTGGAATAAGGAGTTTCAATACCTAATGGTGGAAATGCAGAATAATAAAGCCACTTCAGAATACAGACTGTCAGCGCCACTTCAGGACAAGCACGCTTACTGCACATTCCAGCAGTCACAACAGCCACCCCACAGACATAGAAACACTCACACAGAGATCTTCAGACTTCACTCACAAGCTCCCACACTGAAGACCGCCCTCAAAGTCCAGCAAGGATGTGGACAAACGGTGGAACACCCCACTGTGGAGCACCAGTCAGCAAAACCAAAGAGCACACTAGTGACACACAGCAACCAGGATGAGTCAAGTCAAGGAATCACAAACTGTCCGTAATATGCTAACTCTATGTGCTAACTCTAGAAAACCAAAACTACAGGAACAAAGGGAGGTCAATGGTTGCCCGGGTTGTGAAGGGACAGGATTGGCTACACTGGTCAATTTCAATGCCATATTTCTAAAAAAACAGGAAAAAACAAAAATGTTGAAAGCATTTCTAGAAACAAGACACATAAGAGGAAAGCATTCTGGCCAAACTTCAAATGCTGTTTTAAATTAGCCTGTCTATAGCATAGGAAAAATTCTCAGTATTTTATTAAATGGGAATACATAGTACTTTACATCATCCTGAAGATTAAAAGGACCAAAGTTAAAGGTTCAAGTTTGAAAGAATGGGTCTGAAACAGGTGGCAACAGCATTAGCAAGTCTTTGAGGGGCTCCCGGTGTCAGACATTTATTTAGGTTTTGTAAAATGAAAGAAAGTAATGAAATGCTGTCCAGAGCTTTAGCCAACTACAAACTCTTGAGCTTATTTCATTTATTTATTTAGAGACAGAGGTCTCACTCTGTTGCTCAGGATGGTCTCCACCTCCAGGGCTCAAGGGATCTTCAGAGCAGCTGGAACAACAGACGGGAAAGACCACACCTGGCTCACCATTTTTTTTTTAAAACTAAACTTTAATACTTTATTTTCAGAGCAAGTGCAGGTTCATAGGAATACTGAATGAAAAGTACTGATCATTTTGAATTAATAATTACCTCTAAAATGAGATTAAGGTTTGTGGTGAGAGCCTGAACGCGGTGAAATCCAGCAATCAGGGAAATAGGCAGGAAACCTTGCTCATCCATCTTTCTCCGAAGAAAGAAGTCACGTTCCAAGTTTTCTATACTGAAGTAATATTCACTGAAAAGAGAAACAAACATATATTTCATCCATTTATTCAACAGGACAAAAAATATCCATCATCATTATCAACTGTCATCAGGATATTTTACTTTGATTAATACCATATTACAACTAAGATATAACATAGATGGTCTAATACAATAGGGCAGATATAAAAAGATAATCAAACTTTAAATACTGATTATTTTCCATAAAACCAGCACTAACTTCTATTCAGATCAGCTTTACCTAAGCACAAAGAACGAAAAGCTCATTTTACTTTAAAATAGTTTAATAATTAGCCAGGTGTAGTGGCACATTGTAATCCCAGCTACGTGGGTGGCTAAGGCAGGAAGATCCCAAGTCCAAGGTCAGCCGGTCTGCCGGTCTGCCGGTCAGCCTGGGCAACATGGCAAGACCCTGTCTCAAAACAACATAAAGAAAAAAATGGCTGGGTGTCTCTCAGTAGTGAGGTGCGCACCTCACGTGTACAAGGCCAGGGGTTCAATTCCCAGTGGGGGGAAAAAATCAATAACTGAGTATTAATGAGTAAATTCTGTGAAAATTTCACTACAAAGCTACCTCTATTTCACTAAAACACTAACAAAGCTAAACATATGTCAACATACTGTATCCCAGCTTTTCCTTAATCACTAAGAATCATACTCATTTTTTATTTTTTTAATTGTAGTTGTAAGGTGGACACAATACCTTTATCTATCTATCTATTTATTTATTTATTTTATGTGGTGCTGAGGATCGAACCCAGTGCATCACATGTGCTAGGCAAAAGCTCTACCACTGAGCCACAATCCCAGCCGCAAAAATCGTATTATTGGATTGGAAGTGTCCTTTGCTGAATTCACAATCAAATGTATAGAAGTTTTGTTTTCTATATTGACAAAATATTGACATCATGTAGTACTTTTGAACCCTAGTAATCATTCAGCGCATAGAAAAAATTTACTGGACACACAAGCACATGTGTACACATATTAATTATTACATATGTGAATAAAGATCCAAATTCTCCTCCATCCCCTTCTTTTTCCTGCATGTGTTTCTAGAGACTGAACTCAGAGCCTCCCACTTGCCAAGTGGGCTCTCTACAACTGAGCCTCCTCCCGCCAGTCCTCCTCCTCCTTTCCAGACACAGTGTAAGACATTGAGAGTGAAGAGGGAGCAGGCGCGGTGGCACAGCCTGCAATCCCATCTACCTTGGAGGTGAAGAAGACGATGCCAAGTCAAACCAGCCTAGGCAATTAAGCAAAACCCCAACTCAAAATAAAGTCTGGGGATGCAGTGCAGTGGGACAGTACTGGCCTAGCACGCCAGAGGCCCTGGGTTTGATACCCAGCATGGTCAAAGGGAAAAGAAAGCAAAGAATATAACTAACCACAATTATCAATGACACCATCAAGTATGTGGAGAAAAAAATGCAGAAAAGGCTTAGATACCTTTTCTTCTTCACAAAACTATAGGCCCACTTAAACTTGCCCCAGAGAAATGTAAAGATGAACTTCCAATATGATCAATAATTACAAATCTGACACACAAAGTTAACCTTCAGAATACATTTAATAATAATAGCTTTTGAGAAATACATGTTTAAATAGCCTCCATATAGAAAAATGAGAATTAAGATTCTGGCACAGCACAGTAGCATAAGCCTATAATTCCAGTTACTTGAGAGTCTTAGGGAGAAGGATCAAAAGTTCACAAAGCCCGCCTCAGCAACCTAATAGGACCCTCAGGAACTCAGCAAGACCCTGTCTCAAAACAAAGAGGACTGGGGATATACCTCAGTGGTATAATAATGGCTCAGGTTCAACCCCAAGTACAAAAAAATGTGTGGGGGGCGGGGGAGAGGGGGAGGGAGAGAGAGAGAGAGAATATATACATATATATAAATAAGGTTCTAAATAGAGCAAGACAATAACCATGTCACCAGTGATAATCTGTCCTACTACAGGCTTACGGTTTATTAATCCTACACTGTTTCCAAATCATGGGAAATCTTCAAAGGAGGGTGGCAAATTACAAGGAAGCACACCAGTTTATATTTTGGGGAGTAAAACTCAGTGACTAAATAACTTTGAACTATGTAGGCCAAATTCTAACTTTGAAAGAAACCCTATCAAAGTGCAAAACTCTCACAGACATTAGTGAAATACAACTAACACCTCAGTAACACTAGCAAATTGCCAGGCATGGTGGCTCACCTGTAATCCCAGCAGCTTGGGAGACTGAGACAGGAGGATCTTGACTTCAAAGCCAGCCTCAACAACCACAAGGCACTAAGCAACTCGTTAAGACCCTGTCTCTAAATAAAATACAAAACAGGGCTGGGGATGTGGCTCAGTGGAGTGCCCCTGAGTTCAGTCGCAGGTACAAAAAAAAAAAAAAAAAAAATAGTAACACTAGCCAGTCATTTATTCTTAAAGACTGAAGAAATGAGCATTCTCATTTTTGTTATGCCTCAAAAGCCCTATTTGCTCACAGTGTCTGGTAGGCATGTAATACATGTGGTGAAATTCTAAAATTGTGGACATTAAAACAGACATTTGACAGTCACTGGTTACAACTGTTTTTAGACTCAAACTTCCCCAAGTCAGTAACAAGCTTCCCTTCAAATATAATACTTTTGAAGACTACAATATCTAAATACATTCTTAAATCAGTTATCTACAGTATTTTAAAACATTTTAGTAGACTGCAAATATACTAACCTCTAAATCTGAATGCTGCACGAGATTTTTCCCAAGAAACAATGAAAATATTAATATCCAAACATTCGGACAGCAAAATATAATTTTCACTTAAAATGATATAAAAAAGCTGCTAGAGACTGAACAGTTAAGACTTTTTCTTCCAAGTATACTAAATATCAGGCAGGCATAGTGGCACTTGCCTATAATTCCAGCTACTAAGGGAGGCTGAGAAAGAAGAACTTCCAAGCTAAAGGACAGCAACTTAGCAATACACCGTCTCAATATAAAATGAAGAGCCGAGAAAATAGCACTTCAGTTGCAGAGCACTTGTCTCACGAGTCAGCTCCTGGGTCCAATCCCAGTCCAGTAAAATACATTTAATATCATTCTCCTACAAGTGTGAGGTAGACTTTTATACATGACATCTCAAACAAAACAAAACACAACACCACATCTAACCCCCATCAGCCTCTGCACATACTATATTAGACACCTCAATGACACGAAGTCACAGGATGAGTCCTCAAAGCTGGACCTACAAATCAAAGAATGCTTGCTAACAGGACAAGCCACCCTAAACCTGGTGCTTCACTAATATGCACCCAAAGCCCTGGTGCTGAAACCACCAACAAAAAAGGGGGTCAGGACTAACGCCACGTCGGACGTTTCGCTGGGTGTCCTATCTGAGAAGCTCTGCATTCTACAATGCATGACAAACTGCCAACGCTGAAGTGGCTCCCTCATGTGTATGAGCACACTGGAGGCCGAGGGTCCTGACACAGAGCTGCAAGTCCAGTGTCAGGTCTCACAAGGGACCTGGCAGCGAGAGTTACAAAAAGAACAGGAATAATGGTACAAAGTTGATAGCCACAGGCCAGGCACTTTCTGCCCAGTGTTTGCGTCAACTGTAACAAAAGAAGCAAGAACAAAATAAACATGTTGCTCCACATTGTAAGCCAACCCAATCCTGGGAGGGGCCAGCAAATGCTGACATCATCACTTTCTAGTAATAAAGCAGGGTTCGTTTTCTTTCTTAAATAAAAATAGGTGTTTTTTAAAAGCTTGTGCCCTTTCAAAAATAGCCGCTCTTCCTTCACCTTGTCAGGATAAAAAAACATTTAAGTTGGTTAATGCAAATCACATGGGAAGGTTTTCTCCTTGCCACTACATAAACACACTGTATAAATATGCAGAATACCCTATACAATGGTAATATGCAGAGGGTTTTTTTCTTAACAAGAGAACCAATATTCTTCTGACTTCAAATTCAGCACTCAGGAAGCAACTACTGTGAGCAAGACATGACCTTGCAGAATAGAAGCAACAGTCCCCTTTAGTAACTGTCACAAAGAAAGAACTTCAAAGGTTAAAAAAAAAAAAAAACCTCAGAATTTAGAAGTCAACTGCTAAGGATATCAAAAGATATCAACTGCTAAGAAATCAAAAGATATCTGCCACTATTTTTGTCACTTGTAAATTTTAATGAGAAAATATTTGCAAATAATAATCCAAATTTCATCCAAGTTTCACCTGTTTCATTTCAAATAATATATAGAAGAAAGCTTTACATTTATATATATAGTCATATTATGCAATGACATTTTAACTAATATCCTTTAAGCAGAGAAATGTCTAATCATATGCAGGCAATACATGAACATGATCGAAATGTGACTTTTTAAAAAACAATCTATTTTACTAATATTTCCTAGAAAAATATAATAAGTTAACATTCTTCAACTTTTACTAATAAATAGGTTAGAAAATGTGTAACATTCATTATCAATAATATTAAAGTTTGTTATTGCAACAGACTTTACTATCTGCCTAAATCACACATCAACTTACATTTGACGCTTAATATACTCTTTAAGCAATGCTTCTTCCACAGGATACACCTGTACACCCGTACCGTCATCATAGTAATACATCATACTGGTGTTAATTTCTGTTTGAAATGGCTGATCCGTCCTTTCACCATGTTCTCGGTAACCATACGAATAATCAAAGTTTACTTGATGGAAAGAAAGAAAAAGAAATGTAATCATAAATTTTAAAATAAAAAAAGGGAAGAATTCGTTAATAAAAATCCAGCTGGGTGTGATGGTTCATGCCTACAATCCCAGTGGTTCTGAAGGCTGAGGCAGGAAGATTGCAAGTTCAAAGCCAGCATCAGCAACTCAGTGAAGACCTACGCAACTTAAGGAGATCATCTTAAAATAAAATATAAAATGGGAAGTGGCTTAGTGGTTAAGCACCCCTGGGTTCAACCTCTGATACAAAAAAAAAAAAAAAAGCAAAATGACATATTGAGCCAATAACAAACTAAAACCTTGATGGGAACAGTGGCACATGTCTATAATCCCCAGCCACTCAAGAGGCTGAGGCAGGAGGGTCACAAGTTCTGAGCAACTTAGGGAGACCCTGTCTCAAAATAAAAAATAAAACAGACTGGGGATGTGGCTGGCTCTGAGGTAAACTGCCCCTGAGTTTAATCCATTTTTATTATCAGACCAAAAAAAGTAACATAAAAGGATAATTTGAAAAACAGAAGGCTTGGGGCTGGGGATGTGGCTCAAGCAGTAGCGCGCTTGCCTGGCATGCGCGCGGCCCGGGTTCGATCCTCAGCACCACATACAAAGATAAAAGATGTTGTGTCCACCGAAAACTAAAAAAATAAATATTGAAAAATTCTCTCTCCCCCCTCTCTTTAAAAAAAAAACAAAACAGAAGGCTTGCTTTTTTATTTTACCCCAAGCTCATCAAATTTAACAAAACAAAAATCATGACATACCTCGAGGGTTTCCTCTGCCTCGTCCTCTTCCCCGTCCACGTCCTCTTCCTCGACCTCTGAAGGAACCTCGGATATTACCCCCCTCACTCCTCACGCTGGACACTTCGTCCTGATCATCTCTTTTTTCTCTGTCTCGCCTCCAACCTTTAAAAATAAAATTTTTAACATTTCAATTTGCTGTAAAAAACACGTTTATATTTATGAAAATACAGTAATCACTTTCACCCACTGGGTAACTAGATGACAGTAGCCAGGCAGTCTTCAGAAAGATACACATTTAAAGAGATTCAATAAGAATCTGTCAAAAAATCTCTCTGGTTCCACCTGTAATTCCAGAAACTTGGAAGGTTCAGGAAGGAGTATTGCAAATTTGAAGCCGATCTCTGAAAATGAGCAAGAACTTGTCTCAAAATTTTAGAAAGAGCTGGAGATATAGCTCAGTGGTAAAGTGCTCCTGGGTGTGGGTTCAATCCTCAAAACAAAAAAATTACGTCTCTGGTGCCAGACACCAGTGATCACAGTGGCTTGGGAGGCTGAGGCAAGAGGCTTACAAGTTCAAGGCTAGCCTTAGCAACTGCTGTCTCAAAACCAAAAAGGGCAGGGGTAAAGAGCCCCAGGGTTCAATATCCAGTACCAAAACAACAGCAAGATACAACAAATGTCCAGAAACAGTAAAACACATTTTATAAGAATAGTGAAACGCCCTTAAGCAGAGGGAAAGAAAACAGATGAATTATAGCAACACAACTAATAAGCATGAACACATCAGGAAATTAAGAGTAAAAAAATTACTGCCAAAGAACATGTCAGGATAGTCACACTGCACAGCGATTTCTTCTCCCCTCCCCCCGCCATGTTTAATTCCTTTACACGCCCGCACCCCCACCAATTGAAAGGCAATTTCAAAAGTTTTAACATTCCATCTCATTTTTTTCTGAGATGGGAGAGTGTTGAATAAAACTGCAAAGCCCACATAGGGAGGTTTTTTTGTTTGTTTGATTTTGGTTTTTTGGTATTGGGTACTGAACCCAGGGACACTTTACCACTGAGCTATCAGGGTCTAAGTAGCCCAGGATGAACTTGAACTTGCAATCCTGCCTTGACCTCCCAAGTCACTGGGATTACATGTTATGTCCCTGCTAACATGTCTCTTAAACAGAATGCTAAGTTTCCAGTGTTCATTGTATAAGAATACAATATATAACTCTTTGTAACTTTATACATACATTTTCTTACATAATCAATATTTAACAATAAAATCTTAATTTTATTAAAAGAGTCCTTTAATATCAGAATAGCAAAATCATGAGATTTTAAACATTTTTTAAAGTGATATTTTGTGAACAAATGAGAAATAAAATCTAACTACTGACTAGATTTTATATGGTACTAAGAAAGTAGTGTTCCTTTTCTTACAAGGTGCTTTCTCTTTGAGCCTGGCTCCTTTCAATTGTTTTTTGTTTGTTTGTTTAAAGTTCTTCTAATATAATTCTTTTTCCTTTTCCTTTTTTTTTTTTTTTTTACAGTGCTGGGAATTGAACCCAAGATTCTGTGCATGCTAGTCAAGTGCTTTACCAAGAAGCTACATCCCCAGTTTTATTACTGTGTTTGAGAAAGGTCTAAATTTACCAGGCTGGCTGCTAACTTCTGAGCCTCCTGCCTCAGCCTCCCCAGTCACTGGGATTATGCACATGGAGTGGCTGCAGAATGATCTTTAATGAAATAAAACCATGAAGTGCAAAGCCTGAGGGCCACCTATTTTTCCCTTCTTTTTTGGGGGGGAGGGGTATGGGGATTGAACTCAGGGGCACTCACCTGAGCCACATCCCAAGTCCTATTTTGTATTTTATTTAGAGAGAGGGTTTCACTGAGTTGCTTAGCACCTCTCTTTTTGCTGAGGCTGGCTTTGAACTTGCAATCCTTCAGCCTCAGCCTCCTGAGCCACTGGGATTATAGGCATGTGCCACAGCGCCCATTCTTTTCTTTCTTCTTCTTCTTCTTTTTAATAAGTATTTATTTGTTTTTAGTTATAGGTGGACTCGATACCTTTATTTAATTATTTTTTTAATGTGGTGCTGAAGATCCAACCCAGTGCCTCAGGCATGCTAGGCAAGCACTCTGCCTCTAAGCTAAACCCCAGCCCCCCCAGCGGCCCACTTTCTAACAAATGAATAAGGCTAACGACATCCCAATCAACTCAGTCTTCATGGGACCAACAGTAAAGGACCCAGACATTTTATTCCTGATGTGATGCTTTAGAAAAAACTATCAAGTATTTCTATGAATAAAGGAATCAATCAATCCCTAGCTCTTATTACCTGGTGTATACTTAAAAGAATCAAAGAAGAACATGCTAAAAAAAAAAAATATATACCAAGACAAAGCAATCAACCCAAAGCAAAATATAGATAATTATACATACAATATAGCAGAAAAATATTCTAAGCAAGGCAGAGTGGTGCTCTGTAATTTCAGCCACTCAGATAGCTGAGGCAGGAGGTCCACAAGTTTAAGGCCAGCCTCAGCAACTCAGACCTTGTTCACAAAATTTACAGATGTAGCTCGGTGGTAGAGCACTTGCCTATCATGTACGAGGCCCTGGGTTCCATTCCAAATAACCATGAAAAACAATAACAAGCACTCCATGTGCTAAATGTCTAAAGGTTTAGTCTCAGTCACACCACTTGGAGGTCCTCGGGTCACTGAGGAGATGTCCCTGGAAGGGACTATGGAAGCCCAGCCTTCCTGTTTCCTGGCTGTAGGCATGACCACTCATTCTGACTTGTGCTCCCCACTGACGTGCAGCCCTCCCCAGAGACTCCAACCAATGGGGCCACCAATCTTGGACTTGAACCTCCACAACTAGCCAAAATTAACTTCCTTACTTCAGAAGTAGCCTGAGCCAGGTATTTCACTATGGTGACGAAAGCCAGCTAATTTACTATAGGATTGAGTAATATACTCACTGGGATTTAAGTAACCAAATATGTCCATACATATTTCACAAATGGACCTATTTCACAATGTTCATAGCATCACTGTTCATGGTAAATGAAAAGTGCAACAACTTGGGAGGCTGAGGCAGGAGGATGTAAAGTTCGAGGTCGGCTTCAACCACTTAGCAAGACTCTTACTCAAAATAAAAATAAAAAGAAAAACTGGGGATATAGTTCAGTAGTAAAACACACTGAGTTCAATTCCCAGTACTGGAGTTGGCGGGGGGAGTAAAAACAAGTCAATTATCTGTCAACAAATGAATACTATCTGGCAATAAAGAATAAATGGAAGGGCTGGGGTTGTGGCAGCGGTAGAGTACTCGCTTAGCAGGCATGAGGCACTGGTTCGATCCTCAGTACCACATAAAAATGAAATAAAGATATTGTGTCCACCACCTACAACTAACAATAAATGGATACGGGCGCAGTGGTGCCCACTTATAAGCCCAGCAGCTTGGGAAGCTGAGACAGGAGGACAGCAAGGTTGAGACCAGCCTCAGCAACTTAGTGAGACACTGTCTCAAAACGAATATTAAGAAGGGCTAGTGGTATGGGGCTCAGTAGTTAGTAAGGAACTAGGGTCAAATACCCAGTCCCAAAAAACAAACTGTAAGAAACACTGGGGAAATCTACCTGTAAAAAGTCCACTGTATAAGTATTAAGTTCCATTGTTGTTAACTGTGCTATGGTTATCCTGTGCTTATGAAATACACTGGGGATGCTGGGGTTAGAGGGCCACACTGTGAGCAATCTACTCTCAAAGGGACTGTGCTATAGACAGTTGAGCACCAACACCAAGCTCTCCAAAGTCCTCTTATCTAGCCTGTGACTTACTTCGTGTGTCATTTCTCCTGTTATTATGGGATGACTTATTTGCTTCAGGTTGACACCGAGAGCTGTTCCGGGATCCAGGTCTCTCTTGACTCTCTGGTCTTACATCGTCCAAGTGCAGTGGTACCCACTTGTGTTTATTAGCTTGAAGAAAACAAAATAAAATCATATAACAATAACGCATAATTTTCACTAAACGTTTGCAAATCTGAAAGTACTGTGAATTTTATCTAAGCAAATGATTTAATTTGCCTTTAAAGGGATTATTTGTAGAGTACAAAACAACCTTCTTCCTTCTGACTTAGATCCTTGATAAACTTATTTTTGTAAATATTTCTAAAACTTAAGTTAAAAGCCAGTGATAGGGGCTGGGGTTGTAGCTCAGTGGTAGAGTGCTTGCCTAGCACGTGCAAGACCCTGGGTTCTATCCTCTGCACCACATAAAAATAAATAAAATAAAGATATTGTGCCTAACTACAACTAAAAAGTAAAATATTTTTAAAAAGCCCATGATAATGGGTACTTTTTGTTTAATTCTGATGAATAAGCTACTCAAAATTATACATACATATACTACTCCTATCTAATACTGAAGTCCTAGGCTTGAAAATGCAGTTTATCTAATAAAAACACAATACACACTACCAAGCCAGGCTCCTGGTTCAAAACACTTAGTTGCAGATCTTTGTCTAAAATGCTTATTTATCCTGGATTACTACTAAAGAATGAGGAATGAGGTTTCTCAAAATGTAACCATATATATATATATATATATATATATATTTTTTTTCTTTTTTTTAAACAGCTCCTTTGTATCTTCCCAACTGAAGGAGAGAGAGATAAGCAAATTCAGAAATTCAGTTTCCCTTATGACAGAGTGGCTAAGCTGTCATGTTCTATGACAGGAAAACTCTCAGGATTACTTTTTCATGCATTCCATGCTTATGGTTCAAAATGTTCAGTATTTTGTCCAATCTATAAATTTTCGACCAAAAGAAAGCAAAGAAAAAAACTACCTAAGTAATTAAGCAAAAGTAACTTAAGAATATTATTAAACAATTACTATACTGATTTCCTAAAATCCTGCAAACCAATGGATCAGATTAAGAGCATGGAATATGCTGAAATACTGTTTCTGTGCTAATTGCTAACAAAAAGGTATTGCTTTGTTGTGTTTATTGCTGGCTTATCATGATCCCTGCCCTGCGCAGGCCTTCTCCAGGCACCTGCCTTCCCACTGTGGACCTCTGGACTGCCCTGATGCTTAATGCTCTTACCTGTCCACACCCTACCTGATAGAGAACAAGGACTTTGGGTGACTTCGTCCAACTTTTCCCCCTTTCAGCAGGAAGCAGTCTGGAGATGTCATTGCCCATTTCCCATAGACCTGGAGTGTAGAAACTGACAGAGGGGAAATGGAACCAAGGCCCACTTCATGCTTTGAATATAGCCCTGGCTGCTCTGCCCCTGCAACTTATTTTTAAAATGGACACGTTTCTTTCTCTTCCTCTCTCCCTGCTCCTCCCTAATCCCTCCCCATCCCTAATCTCAGGGGAAACAGGATTACCTTTTCTTCCTCATCCTAGGCAGATTTACCTGTTCCTGAGTACACCCACCATAAGAATGAAGTAATCCAGACTTTGGTGGCACCAGATCTCAGAAATGACTGTCCCAAATTCACAAGTGAATTACAACTCCAACAGAGAACACTTGGAATGTAGCCTTTGAGTCATCTCTTTAAAAGCCCCCTGGGGCTGGGGCAGTAGCTCAGTGGCAGAGCACTTGCCTCACACTGTGAGAAGCACTAGGTTCAATCCTTATAAAAATAAATCCACATAAAAATAAATAAAAATTTTTTAAAACATATATATATAAAGCCCCCTGTTCCTGCTGATAGGCCGAATCACAGCCTTTGGGATAGGAGTCCCTTCTGTTTCTCCTTTGCTAGCAAAGCAATAAACTTTCCTTTTCCTTTTTCTCAAAAAAGATAACAGAATATGAAAATATAAAAAAAAAAGGAAAGAAAGGAAAGAAAACTCTTATTCTATGACATTTCCAGGCAAAACAAGCCCTTCTTTGAAAGTCAAAAATGTGTGCCACACTCCTATAATCCCAGCAGCTCAGGAGGCTGAGACAGGAGGATCTTGAATTCAAAGCCAGCCTCAGCAACCTTGGGGCGCTAAGGAACTCAGTGAGACCCTGTCTCTAAATAAATTCAAAATAGGGCTGGGATGTGGCTCAGTGGTCAAGTGCCCCGAGTTCAATCCCTGGTACCTCCTCCCCGCAAAAAACCAAAACAAACACACTACTGTGTATCCAGGAATCAGAAAAAAGAAGTAATAAAGTGGGTTAAGAAACTGGAAAGAAATTGGGGTCAGATTTTCTAACAACCACTTGATGATCAGATTCTACCTATTTATTTTTTTTTAGCAATCAACATTTTCTCGTTGTATCAAGGGAACTAATGTTTACCTTTCTTTCCTTGCATTACTGAGAATTAAACTCAGGGTGCTTTACCACCGAGCTACATCCCTAACCCTTCTTCTTCTTCTTCTTTTTTTTTTTAAATATTTATTTAGTTGTAGATGAACACACAGTATCTTTATTTATTTTATGTGGTGTTGAGGATTGAACCCAGTGCCTCACACATGCGAGGCAAGCACTTTACCACTGAGCTACAGCCTCAGCCCCCCCCTTTTTGTTTTTGACACAGTCTTGCTAAACTACCCAGGCTGGCCTCAAATTTATGATTCTCCTTCCTCAGCCTCCCAAATTACAGTCATGTGCCACCACACCCAGCCCTAAAAATTTAATGTTCATTTAAAAGACAAAACTGTTCAAGTGCACAGTATAGATTGTTCCTTGCAGTTGTTTGCCCCCGTCCTGTGCTAATATTGCCTCTGTAAAAGTAAATGTTTCAGTGATTTCCCATGCACTGAAAATGAAACCCTAATTCCAAGTCCCTAAGACCCTGTACACTGTGGACCTTGCCTGTCTCCCAGCCCATCTCCTGCTACTCTCCCTATGCCCAGAACACCAAAAGAATATGCTTTTATAAATCAGATAAATCATCCCTAAATTGTGACTAGTTCAGAAGAGAAAATGGAAAGGAATATAAAGACAGTAATTTTTTTTCCTTCAAGGTATAAGTTTTTTAATTTTATTTTTTAGTTGTAGTTGGACACAATACCTTTATTTTATTTCCTTTTTTTTTTTTTTAATGTGGTGCCGAGATCGAACCCAGGGTATCGCAAGTGCTAGGCGAGCGCTCTACCCCTGAGCCAAACCCCCAGCCCCTCAAGGTGTAACTTATACAGGGATATGTACCAAGGGAAAAAACTGACTAAAGTTGTTCTCATTTTTCTCTTAAAATAATGAAGCATTTCATTTCCTCAGAACTCCCTAAAAAACAGGAAGCAGTTCCAATACAGATTTAAACAACAATATTTAAAACTTTAAGAATATATCTGAAGTGGAACTTCATTCCATTTTCTTGCACAAAACACAAAAAATGCAAAACAGGAAAGCCTAATAGTCCTGAAATGTTACAAAAGTAAATCAGACAGTTTATCCTAAACAATTACACAACCCCCTCTAATAGAGATCAGAGGCTGAACACAACCCTCATTACCCCCACTTCCTCCCAGAATTGGAAGTCAGATGAGGTGGACAAAGACTGACCTCTCTTCCGCTGACTGCTTGACTGGGCCTCGTCCTCACTCACATTTTCAACAGGACCGTCTAATTTTGTTTCCCGGTTTTCTTTGCTCTCACTGTTACTCCTCTTTTCAACCTTCTCTTCTTTTTCTTTTCTAATTTGTGGCTTCTTATTTCCTTGGCTGATGACACTCTGAGACTGCAAAAAGGTTTTCTGAGTGGAACAATTTTCATTAACATTTTCACTATTGTTTCAAAAAACATGTGGTAGTACACCTAGACATTACAAACACTTATCAAAATTTTAAAAACAGACTTCTCAAAAGGCAGTGTTAATTTTTAAAAACAAAAGGAAACAAAAAAGATGTTAATTTGGAGAAAGGTCTAGCTGCAGACTAGGAAAAAATACCTGCTAAAATTTGAGGAAGGACTTATGTGTAAAACATAATGTACTCTCCAAATTCAGTACTAAGAAAGCCATTTTTAAAAACAAACGACAAAAAATGATCAGATACTTCAAAAAGATATAGATGGCAAATATATATGAAAATATACTTACTCAACATTCTTCAGAGAAACACAAAAATACAATGCAATACACTTATATAATGGCAACATTTTTTTTTCTAGTACTAAGGATTGAACCCCAACAGTGCTATAACCACTGAAGTATATCCCCAGTCCTTTTTTGAAAAATTTTTAATTTTGAAATAGGGTCTTGCTAAGTTGCTGACACCATCCTTGAATTTGCTATCTTCCTGCCTAAGCCTCCCAAGTTGCTAGGATTAGAGACATGTGCCACTGCACCTTGCATGGCTAATTTTTAAAAACTGACCATATTAAAAGTTACCAAGGATGTGAAGTAACTGAAATTCTCATAAACTGTTGGTAGAAGTATAAGGTTTGGCAGTTCCTTAAAAAGCTCAACAAATAGCTACTATGATCCAGCCATTCTACTGTTATATTCACCCAAGAAAAAGGAAAGCATATATCCATGAAGTTTTGTACAGAAATGCTTACGTAGTGGTTTGACTTGTAATGACCCAACCTGAAACAGCCCAAAGTGAACCAACAATGGTGCCACAGCCATACAGGAGCACGCACCACTAACAAAGGATAGACACAGGAATGGAACTCAGTGATCATGCTGAGGGGAAACCAGGAAAAAAAGCCTACTGTGCGAGTTCACACACACAGAAAGACAAATTAACTCAGTGACAGTGCATCAGCAACTGCTGGGACAGCAGGGATGAAGGGGACAGGAAGAATTACAAAAAAGTGTGAGGAAAGCTTTGCGGACAGCCCAGTATATCATTTTTACTGTGGTGAGGGGTTCACAGATGTGACACAGGTTGAAACCTAACCCATTATACGCTTTTTGTGTGTGCAGTTTACTCTATGTCATTTATAATTCAATTAAGCTATTTAAATCAAGCTATCCACAGTTACACACCAGTAATACTGCACAGCAAATTACAAATGCCAAAGGGTATATAATGTCAAACGAAAACACACAACCAGATACAAGGCATCTCTTGAAAAGCTCCTTGATCCGATACTTCAGAGCCATCTTTCAGAGATCCTTTTAGAGTTAAATTAAAAATTCATTCATTATATACTTGGGGGGTGTTGGGGATAGCAGGGATTGAACACAGGGACACTCTACCACTGAGTAACAAACATCGTGATCCCTTTTTTATTTTGAGAGAGGGTCTCAATAAGTTGGTAAGGCTTGCCTCAAACGTGTGATACTCCTGCTTCAACTCTCAGGGATGCTGGGATCACAGGTGTACCATTTCACAAGGCCACTTCATACTTCTTAGTATGATTCATGCACATATATACATGCATGTGGGTATATACTTAAAATACTGTATATAAAACACATATCTAGCACAAAATTTGAAACATAAAATACTCTTCAGTTTGACACTAAAAATTAATCTCAGCTGGGCACAGTGGCACACACCTGTAATCCCAGCTACAAAGGAGAATGAGGAAGGAGGATCCCAAGTTTTCAATAACAGACCTTATCTCAAAATAAAAAGTGTTGGGGATATAGCTCAGTGGAAGAGAACTTGCCTAGCCGACATGAAGTCCTGATTTCAATTTCCAGTATCAAAAAAAATAATAATTTTTAGTATGTGTTTATTATTACAGAAAAAAAACAAGTAAAGCTTACCAAGGGTAAACTTAAGCCACCAAGTGCAGCATCCAAGGATGACTGCAAATTAAATGAACAAAAAAGCCTTCTCACTGATCATCAAGTCTTTACATCTGTCTCTCACAGCAGTGATTCTTTGGATTCTGAGTAAAACAAATTCTGCATGTTGAAAATACGTTAATTTTATTTATTTAGTTTTAAAAGCCTTAAAATAATACTTACTCCAGTGCTCACTAACTCTCCTGGTGTTGGCCAGTTTGCCATATCGCTGAAATCACTGGCCTAAAAAGTAACAAATATGTGTTATACCTGCAAATTCATTTAGGATATTTAAATAGGAAAAAAAATTGCAAAAAGTGACAGCAATTTCAAAAATTGCCCATATTTTATTATTTGCAGATATCTTCCCAGTGAATTAGAGTTTCTAAAAACAGAACACTTTGAAACAAAAATGATTTGGTCTTAGATCAAACTTTGAGCACTACTTTATGACATTAATTAAATTGAAATACATGTGATAACATAAGCATATGGTGATTTGTATCAAAGATACAATTCTTTAGAATACTATCTTTAAACTAACATTAATGAAACAATTAGAAAAAAAATTTAATTAAGAATTCCTAACAACAATGTTCACAGTCAATGTGGTTAAGAACTATCCCTATGAAGACATACCTTATTGGGTTTCCTTGTCTTGAGTTTTCCTGCTTTTATAATTTTGGGGGAACTGAGCTCTAAAGAAAATACAAAGAGTTGTTTTTATAACTATTTAACAAAATAACTACTATACCAATTTCAGTAAGCTGGTGTAGCCACAACTCCCAACAAAATTCATAGTTCTAAAACTTAATTTCCTAGTAGGAAATCACTACCTTTAGTACACAGATGCAAGCTGATCTTACATGTCAAGAAGCAGGAAGTAGTACCATTTACTTATAATGAACTGACAGACCAATTCTTTGGTTAACAGCACACAGAAAACTGGAAACATGACACTTTTAATACAGTAAATTTCAACTCAACTCCTGATAGACTATCATTGGGCTGGGGAGGTGGCGCACTCCTGAAATCCAAGACGAAGAAGAGACTGACACAGGAGGATTGCCAAGTTCATGGCCAGCCTCCCCAACTTAACAAAGCCCCATAGCAAATAAAGAACGACTGGGAATGTGCAGGTCAGTGGTGAGGACTCTGGGTTCAATCCCCAGGACCAAACAAACAAAAAGGCAGCTTCACACTGTCTTTCAGTTTGGCTCATCGCCTAGCAAGATGACCAGAGAGGGCACAACCATCTAGCTAAATATGATACAAGTAAATGTTAGAAACAAAAATGAGCATGGGACCTGCATCTACCAGGTAACACATTATTCCAACAAAACAACATCCCATAAGTCACAGCAATGGCCAATTTAGAGAATAAAGCAATCTTTGAGTTAACAATATATAAACAGTCAGGCATGGAGGCTGAGGATAGCTAGTTCAAAGACAGCCTCAGCAACTCAGCGAAGCCCTAAGCAACTCAGCAAGACCCTCTCTCTAAATGAAATACAAAAAAGGGTTGGGGATATGGCTCAGTGGTCGAGTGCCCCTGAGTTCAATCCCCAGTACCAAAAAAAAAAAAAAAAGTCTTCCCATACTCAGACTTTAATCTCACATTCATATTCAAACAGATGAAACCCAAACAAACTTAAGCTACTAGTGACTCCAAATATATGTAAATCTACATAATATGTGGTCTACATATCTTTATTTTTCAAACACTGTTGGTGAGACATTATAAAACTGCAAAACTTTTTTCAACAATGGGAATTAAATCCAGGGGCACTCTACCACTAAGCCCTCCCAACCCTTTTTATTTTTTAATTTTCAAGCGGATTTTGCTAAATTGCTGAGGCTGGCCTCAAACTTGTGATCCTCCTGCATCAACCTCCAGAGTTGCTGAGATTACAGGGGTACACCCATACCACGCTAGGCTCCAGTACAACTTCTTTGAGCAATATGCCAATACCTTCAAAATATTATTTCTAAACCACAGAAATCTACAAGAAAATAATTCTAAATAGATAAAGGAAGCCAAAAATGGTGGCACATGCCTTTAATCTTAGAGGTTAGGGAGGCTAAGGAAGCAGAATTACAAGTTGGAGGCCGGCCTCAGCAACTTGCTGAGACCGTCGAAAAATGAAAAGTAAAAAGAGGTGGGGATGTGTTTCAATAGTTGAACACCCCTGGGTTCTATTCCCAGGACCCACCCCCCAAACAAGATAAAGACAACTATTTTTAAGAGCCTGGATACTCAAGACAAAAACTTCAACAGAATGCATAATTTACTCACCTTTATTCTCATGATCATAATTCTTAGCAGTTTTAATAAGAAGTTTGTATCAAGGACTGGGAATGTAGTTCAGTTGCAGAGCACTTCCCTAGCATGCACAAGGCCCTCAGTTCAGTCCCCAGTAAGGCAAAAAAAAAAAAAAAAAAGGGGCGGGGGGGGGGGGGGGGGGGGGGGGGAGATGGGGCGGCAGTGGTGGTAAATGCATGCCTGCCCAAACAGAAGAATTCTAATTCCAGATGACTTCAGAGGCTGAAGCAGAAGGATCCAAAGTTCAAGGCCAGCCAGGGCAATGAGGGAAATCCTGTCTCAAAAAATAGCTCAAAGGTAAAGTGCATACCTAGCATGCACTGTGAGTTCCGTTCCACAAGAAAAAAGACTGATATTTTATATTCTAAAAACATATGGAGAACACTATCTGGTAATTGAATAGAAAGTTCTAAAAAGCTCTTCAGTAAAAAAATATGAACTTTTTTGGTAAGGGGACATCAAAAGTTGTTTTCTTAAATTTTTTTTGTAGTTATACATGGGCAGAATATCTTTATTTTGATTATTTATTTTTATGTGGTACTGAGGATCGAACCCAGGGTCTCACATGTGAGAGGCGAGTGCTCTACCGCTGAGTCACAACCCCAGCCCCCAAAGTTTTGGTTTTAATAAGGAAAAAATATATATATATATATTGTTTGAATAACTCAATTAAAAGTACTTTACTAAGGTAATAACAATAAAGTCATTAGAGGTTCCAAGAAACAGATATCAGGAGAAAAGAGGATTGATGGAAGTACAAAAAGGTTCAGAAAATAAGGCTGAAAAAGATGGACAAAACACCAATGCTTTTTATGTTTTTGTGAAATTGTAGTAGTAGGCTAAATTTTAATATGCAAAATGCAACCATAGCAACAGGCAAGTGATTAATAAATCCCATATTGTGATTTATTTACTTATTATTATTATTTGCAGTACCAGGGATTGAAAACAGGTCCTGGTGCATACTAGGCAAGAGCTCTGCCACTGAGCTAAACCCAGGTCTTTTTATATTTTGAGATGGGGCCTCTCTAAGTTGCCCAGGCTGACCTCAAACTTCAATTATCCTGCCTCAGCCTCCTATGTAGCAGGGATTACAGACACAGCACCACCTTGCTGGGCCATATGTGATCTTAATAAAGGGTTTTAATAAAACTACTTTAACAGAGTTTGGGGTAAGGTTTTTACAGTCTGGTGACCTGGGGTGGGCCAGGCTTGGGCTGAAGACTGCTTTATCTGGCTGGATTGCTATAAACAGTCAAGCTCCACCAGAACCATCCTAAAAGTGGAACAAAGTGTCTTCAAGGGCTGAGCATCAAGGATCTGCCTTACATCAGAATATTCTAAAGTTCAGAGAAGTCATGATTCATGTCCTGAGAGACTTCCCCTGTCAAAAGTTTGTGGATGGAATTCCTTTACCTCATCAACAGAGTGACACTATCTCCAGGTTTGCCCAGATAGACCCAGTTTAAGTCTGTTGTTACACCTAAGTAATATCCTTCCCTTTCTCTTTCAAGAGTAAAGGGTTTCCACAGAATAATTACATAGGCATCTATGAACATATCACTAACTGAACACTCCTGAGCTTTCACCTCTGAAAGCTAAACCGTCTCAGGCCCTATTTCATTATCCTTTTCTTTTTTTGAGATGGGGTTTCCCTTTGTTGCCCAGGCTAGTCTCAAACTCCTGGGATCAAGTGATGCTCCCACCTCAGCCTACTGAATAACTGGGATTACAGGCACACAGCGTCCTGCGTGGATATTTTCCTTATTCTTCAAATTGCAAACTTGCTTAGGAAAACAGAAACTCAAGGAAGCCAGGTTGTAAAGATGGCACTCCGGTACCAATAACTGGAGGAGCTGTCTCCATCCACTTCAGGACCCAGAAATAGTAATACTAGAACCCAAATCTCTCAGAGCAGTGCACTCCTATACCACCAGTCTCTTCTCTAATTAACCTATGTCTTTCAACTTAAAAGAAGTTGTGGGAGAACAGTGCAGAGCTGGGAATAGAGAACAGTTACTACGGTGCTCCAGGCCTGAAGAAAGGTGTTCCTGAGGACGCAAATGGGAGAAGAGTTGCCCGTGGAGACCTCAGCAAAACGGAAATCCAGTATCACTTTTTTTGGGGGGGATGGTATTATGAATGGAACCCATAGGTGCCCTATCACTATGCTATGCATCCCCAGTTCTTTGCTTTTTGAGACAAGGTCTTGCTAAGTTACCCAGGCTGGCCTGGACTTACAGTCCTCCTGACTCAGCCTTTCCAGTAGCTGGGATTATAGGTGTGTGCCACCAAGCTCAGCATGCATGACTTTATTCTTAGTCTCCAAAGAAGATTGGAGAATGAAGGTAAGATAAGGATAATTAATCTCTTAAATTGATTTTAGATTCAACAAGGAGTTTGTATTTTGGTAGTTCACTGAATACTTTTTAAAAAGTCTAGAAGTAGTCAGCCAATAAAATGACCCACTAAAGGTTTCTTTGCCAATTTTTTTTTAGTTGTAGGTGGACACAGTACCTTTTTTATTTATTTATGCATATGTGGTGCTGAGGATCGAACCCAATGCCTCACGTGTGCTAGGAGGGTGCTCTGTTGCTCAGCCACAATCCCAGTCCCTCACTGCCAAATTTTATGGAGACTTTGCTTAAGAGTGTTCTCTTCAGTTAAGAGTAAATAGATCTTTGCAGCTAAGAGGTAATTATGCCAATACTAAGTATAAAGAAAAAATTTTCCCCAAGTGCCCTAAATTTTATCAAGAATTAATAGAGTACTTCCATGCAAAAGCTGAAGAACTCAACTGACTCAACCTTTCTCGTTTTGAAGAGTTTCTCAGAAGAAACAACCCAGTGGCACACACCTATAATCCCCAGCAATGAGGGAGGGTGAGGGTAGAGGATCCCAAGTTTAAAGCCAGTCTCAGCAGCTTACTGAGGCTCTAAGCAACTCCCAAGATCCTATCTTAAAAAATAAAATAAAAAGCACCGGGGGCTGGGATTGTAGCTCAGTGGTAAGAGTGCTTGCTTGCCCAGCACTTGTGAGGCACTGGGTTCAATCCTCAGCATCACAGAAAAATAAAAATATATTGTGCCTATCTACAACTAAAATTAAACAACACAACAACAAAAAACCAAGCACTGGGGATGAAGCTCATCAGTGGCAAACTCCTGCTTTCCATATCCAGTATCCAAAATAAAAAACATAACCTGGGTTTACAACATTTATAGCACATCCATTATCTCATTTGACCTTCATAAACCTGTAAATGTGCTCAAGTATTTCATATTCCATTACTAGCCTTTAAGAAACACAACCTGAAAGTAAAATTCCCAAGTAAAAATTTCAACTAATTTACTACAACTTAATTTACAAAGCAAATTTAGAAGATACCGCTATTTGTCTTCATTTAGCTTAGCATTTTTTTAAAAATGGTGTTTTGCTTTGCTTTGCTTTTTTGGGGCAGTGGTGTGTGCTACCATTTTTTTTTTAAAACAAAAATCTGCAGTTCCCACAACTAAAGCACCAAGAGCTATGAGGCACTAGTTAGCATTCAAATGCAAACGCATAAACCCCCTCTTAAGCAAAGAAGAGCTAACTCAACCTTGGAAGAGGACCGTTCATCCAACCACAGTCCACTCTTAGTGTCAACTACCCATCTCAACTACACCCCAACACTATCCAGGCACCTTAATATCAACTACAGTTGGCGTCTCGTTTTTCACGACTGTTCAGCAGTGTTTCGAAGACCTGGAGGTTTTCAGCTGTCAATCACTTCACAAGGACAGACCGCCGCCGTGCGCTCCCCCGGGCAAGCCAATCCCCTAGCTCCGACAGGCTCCAACCCTCCGTGACAAGTCCAGGAAACTTTCCCGGGGGACGCCCGGCAGTGCCGGTTCCGAGTCGCGAGCACGTGGGGCGCAGCGGCCGGGCAGCGCTGCCCAGCTGCCCGCAGCCAGCCGGTGCAGGAGAACTGAGGTCCCACCTCTTCCTGCCGCGGCCGTCCCGATGTCCATGTAAGTAAGTACGCGCGGTGAATGACACCCAGGAGCCCGCACCTCGGGCGGCCGGGCGCCCCCCCCCCGCCGCGCCCGTGCCCCGCACCGACCTGCCTGCAGGGTCTCCAGCGCCGGCGGCGGCGGCCCGGTCGCGGCGGGGGACGCGTGCTGGGGAGGCTTTTTGGTCCAGGGGTTCTCCTTGGGCGGCGGCGGCGGCTTCTCCTCGGGGCCGGCCGCGGCCGGCGGCTCCCGGGCGTCCTCGGTCAGCGGCTCCCCGCCGAAGGGGCCCCCGGGCCCGCGCGCCTTGTGCGCCAGGTGCAGCGCCAGCGGCCGCACGGGCACAGCCGCCTGGGGCACGCTGTGGCCCAGCACCGGCGCCGGCGACGGCTCTCCCCGCGCCCCCGCGCTCGTGGCGGCCCTCGCCGCCTCCTTGCCCTCCCGCTCCGGCGGGGGCGGCTGCTTGGGCGGCCGGTTCGCCGCGGCCGTCAGTGACTCTCTCTCCGCCGCCGCCGCCGTCGCCAGGTCCTCCCGAGAGCGAGCGGCGGACACCGGGGCGCGAGCAGACATCGTCCGCCCGTCCCGGCCTCCCCGGCCGGGGTGCGCCCGGAGCCGGGGCGCTCGGCCGCGCGTCTCTGCGCCGGGGCACCGGCTGGCTCCGGCCTGGGACCTCGAAGCCGAGAGCCCGGCCGTGGCCGCCGCCGAGGCCGTGCAGCGCCGGGCGTGCCGCCCTGCCCGCGTCGAACGCAGCGCCAACCGCCCCGGCCCGGGGCCTCGCCGCGCACGCCCGCAGCCCTCCAGCGCGCGCCGCGCCGCCCGGAGCCGCGAGCGCCCACCCCGCGGAGGCGCCGCCCGCCGGGGCCGCGGCCGCAGCCAGGTCCGCCGGGCGCGCGCCGCCCGGGCCGGTAACTGCGGGCGGGGCGGAGGCGCCGTGCGGGGGGCGGCCCGGGGCGGCGGGCGGGGCCTCCCGGAGCGGCGTGACGTGGCTACTCACCGGCTGCCGCCTCGCCGGGCCGCGCGCGGCGGCCGACTAACTAGCCCGCCCGGTGCCGCGGGCCCAGGGCCGGCCCCGCCCCCGCGGCCGCCGGGGAGGGAGGCGAGGGCGGGCCCCGCAGGCCGCCTGGGCCCCGGGCGCAGGGCGGGGCGCGCTCGCCTCTGTGACCCGCGGCGGGCGGGCGGGGCGCACGTGGCGCGGGCGGGGGTCGGGGGCCGGGGCGCAGCGCGGCGGCGCAGGGCGGCGCCCGTAACCTTGAGCCCGAGGGGCCGCTGGGTGCGGTCGTCCGCAGGTAACGGGAGGGACCCCGGGCCGCGCCCCGCCCGCGAGCGCGCTGGAGGGGAAGAGCGGACCCTCCGCAGCTCTTCAAGTGTTGATTACCTGTCGCTTGGGACGGCGGCGCTGGATTGCAAATAAGCTGCTTGCCCAGTATAGTTTTTTCGTGGAATGGATAATGTTAAAGTAGCACAAATACATTTTGATTAATCAGGTAAAATCTTTGTACTTGGCATTCGGTTTTAAGATGATGTTGGTTCTGGGTGCCTATACCTAGTTAATAATGTTTATTATGTTCAGGTGGAAGGTCACCCAGAGCGGGTTCATTCCGGTGGAAGTTTTTCTTCCCCATCATGTTCAGCCACAAGAATGGGGTCGTGATTAGAATAAATTATACTCCATGTATGTATAGTATGTCAGACTTCACTCTACTGTCATGTATATCTAAAAAGAACAAATAAAGACTGAATCAGTTGAACTGGGCATGGTGTTGCCCATCTGTAATCCCAGTCACCTAGGGGACTGAGGCAGGAGGATTGCAAGTGTGAGGACAGCCTTAGCAACTTAGACCCTTTCTAAAAAATTTTTATAAAGGTTGGGGACTAAGCTTAGTGGCAAAGCACCCCTATGGAATGGCTCTTTGAAGTTTCATTTATTGGAGCTACTGTGGTGGTTTTCTTTGTTATTGGAGACCAAGTCTTACTCAGTTACCCCCTCTAGCCTCAAAATTTTGATCTTCCTGCCTCAGCTTCTCCCTAGCTGGGATTATAGGTGTGACCACACCCAGATTTGCTTGTGAAAAGTCTTGTCAGGACTTCTCCAGTACAGCTGAAGGGTGGATGGAGGAAAGCAAGAGGAATCCTTGGGAGGAGGGCGCGCTTGCAGGGAGAGCAGATGGAGATTGATGTGGGCTCACCAGCAGGTGTTGGGGTCCTACTACAGAGGACCCCAACACTGCCCCTCCTCTGAATACCTATGGGATCTTCTGCTTCCACTTCACTGCCTCTTTGAAACCTCATGGCCTGTCTTGTTTCTACCTTCCATGTCCACTCCTCACCCTTCCCCTGTGCTTGTGCCAAGAAGGCTAACCTGTTCAGATTGCACCCATGGTCTCCCACACCCTCCATGGTGTCCTGGTGGGTTCAGATAGTGGGAAACGTCTGCAGGAGATGGAAAGGTCCAGGCTCTTATTCTGGAGACTAGTCACCAGGGTTGGCTGCAGAGCCCTCTGTACCACTGCCCTGTCCTTTTCTTCCCTTTGCCTGGTTAACCAGACCCAGGGGCAATAGCCACCAGCTCTTGGGGCACTGTACTATCACTGTTGTTTTTCTGACTCTGGCCCACACTTGTAAGTGGTCCTTCAAATTATGAAGTTCCATCGGATTTTGCCATGACCTCAATCCAGTCTGCCACTGCTAACCTCCATTCTATAACTTCCTTCTGCCTTTGCAGCTATGTTCCAGATTTTTTCTCTGCTAGCAGTTCAAAATCAAGGAGGAGCCAGGCAGGTGGTTTAGTTATGTAATCCCAGTTACTCCAGAGGCAAAGGCAGGAGGATCCTTTGAGTCCAGGAATCTGAGGCAAGCTGGGCAACATAACCCAGGAAGAAAGACTGAGTCATTCTGCCACCCCCTTACGGCTAAAGATCATCCAGATTTGATCTGTTGCCATAAACAGGCTAATGTTGCCATCAGAATACTTGGTGAAAAATATGACAGCAAGTCTGAGATCTGTCACTCTTTAGTGCCTCCCCGCGTACTGGTGTACCTATGAGGTGTAACTGTGGCTCTTATTGGGCACTGTGTGATCTGTAGAGGCTGGGGAGTCTCTGAAGCCTGTTATTATAAAGAGTGCCCTTTTCAGAAGGATAGAGATGGTTGCCCAAAGATTGTTAATTTGGGGAGCTCTAAAAGAGACCTCTTCTGTGAACACAAAAGTATAGCTTTGAGAAGGAGTGACTGGTGGGTGGCCTCTTCCTCCCCCAGTCTAGCTGCTGCAGCTGCCAAAAAATCCCCTTGCTACCACCAGAGCATGAAAGGGGCCCAGTACAGCCTGCTAGTGTGTTGGCACCTGCCCCCCTTTCCCTGCCTCACCCAGAGTGGGGGCGATCTGGAAACGTATTCTTCACAGAACATTCTCACTGTGCCGGTAGTAAGTTAATGGGGTTTCTTGAATTTGAGAAGCAAGGCTGTGTTGTGTATGCTGATTTGTCCTCGCTACACCAAGATCTTCTAAACATGTGTTCAGCCACCATCTGAACAGCCACTGTGCTGTTCCCCCAGTGAAAATCGTGTTCTTGCAGCAGCTCTGATGACTGCTGCCCTTGATAACCCTTCAGTGTGTGGCAGAAAGCCTCAGAAAATAAATGTGACATGAGCATTTAATCTTACAACCCTTAAAAAAAAAAATCTTGCCAGTGCTTAGCCAATCCATGGCTTGTTTGCCCTTGGGTAGAGATTATTTGCCTTGGCCTGGAGGAACACTGCCATGGGGCAAGGCCTGTGGGTGGGAGAACAGAATAGTGCCCTTTGACTACTTCTTCCCTTTTCTCTTAGTGGGTGGCACCAGAGTCCAGTCAGTAGAACCCAGGCAATGGCACACACCTGAATCCCAGCAGCTGGGGAGAATGAGGCCGCGATGGATCACAACTTTAAAGCCAGCCTCAGCAATTTAGTGAGGCCCTAAGCAACTTAGTGAGACCCTGTCTCTAAATAAAAAATAAAAAGGGCTGGGGATGTGGCCCAGTTGTTAAGTATCTCTGGGTTCAGTCCCTGGTACCAAATACAAAACAAAGGAAAACAAGGAGTTACCCTTTCAGACCCACCTTCCTCACCCTTCTCAGCTAGTTCATTCACTTGGATATCTCAAGCAGTGTCTAAAGTGTTCCAGGCACTCACCAGGGCCAAGTGATTGTACCTCCTGGGTGACTCAGCTCTTCCTGCTTTCTCTACTGCCAACACCCAACTCCAAGCTGCCATCATCCCTCTGTAATAGTGTTACAGCCTCTTAACTGACCTGTTTGCCTCCACTTTGAACTATTTGATAAAATTATTGTGATAACTGGGGTGGGGGGTGGCGGACATCTGTAATCTCAGTGACTGAAAGGGCTGAGGAAGGAGGAACACAAGTTGGAGACCAGCCTCAGCAACTTAGCAAAACCCTGTTTCCAAAAAAAAAACAAAAACAAAAAAATGGACTTGTGATATAGCTCAGTAGTAGAGCCTCTGAATTCAATCCCCAATATTGCAAAATTAATAGATAAAATTATTGTGAGGATTATGTGAGACAATATGTATGAAGTGCCTAGCATAGTCCCTAGCTCAAAACGATGCTACCAACTTTTATTGCTTTTTAAGTAAATTTGACCAGGTATGGGTGACCTTAATTTTACTGAAGTACTGAGGTTAAAGGTCCAATTATTTTTTCTTAAATTGTGATGGAAAATTGGAATCTGGAGAACAGGCATAGAGTTATCTTTTAAAAGGAAGAATGGTCCCCTACACCCTCAGGAGTTATGAAATACATGAAGTTATTCTTACATGATCTTGATGATCAGGTTCTTCAAATAAGCCTTTGCAAGGTGAATCCTGTTTTTCCTGTTTAGTGTATGCTAACATATCCTCAGGTGATTGAACCCACTCCTTTTCCTCTCCCCCCAGGAAATTAAAATTCCATGAGAACCTTAAGGTCTTCCTAATTCAGTACAGTTTAGGTCAGACTGGCAAAATCCTAGTGTGTATGGCGC